ACATCTTTACTGGTAAATATATGAATATTCTAGAAAGGCTCCATCGACAAGGTAAACGGAAGCACATCTTCATTAGAAAACAGCCTGCCAAGGTACATGTGGCAATACAGAAAGAAATGCAAAAGACTGCCAACAAGGAAGCAGAAGAAAATGTTATTTTTATACATGCATCTGAAGTTTTAAGAACACACAAATGAAGCCTAATTACAGAGGACGGCTGGCATATTTTGACAGTCTTCGCTATTATCACGTTGTCACAGTATAAATTTCACTGTGTTCCCGGCCATAAATTGTGCACTGCATTTCAATCATTTTGTGATGCATGACTGACAGGAAAAACAGCAGATGCCAGAGAAGTACGTAGGGCAGCAGTGTAAACATCAGGGGCAGTATCCTGAAACAAGGACTTCAAGCACATTGCGACAGTTCAGAGGGTTAGGCATTGGTGACTTCCAAAGACTTAGGCTTTAGCTCATCACTAAGCAGCCTGTGCCCACTCAACCTGATGTCCACCCACTCTCTCAATCCATGCACCTGCCAAGGCAGGGCCCCCAGCTGACGTGTGTGCCAGTGAAAGGTCCCTAAAGCCGCGTGAGATATTTGGCTTAGGTTACAGCTTTGTCCACCTGAAATCAGTATTTCGAAGTGAGATACATGGAGAGGGAAGAGTAATTCTGAAACAACAGAACACTTGTATAGAAAGAAAGCCCAGGTTTTACATCTAGGTTTTACATCAACTTTTTGAAGTCCCCTCGTATGTACCATAATCTCTTTTAGGAACTTGACAGGTAACTTCTAATGCTTTCAACTGTCTTATAAGTTGCTGGAGAATTTTAAGAAGGGCATGGTTAGGGAATATTATATCCTATATGTTTTATGATGTCTTTCCTACTAGGAGCCCTGGTGGCGTAGTGGTTACGCATTGGGCCGTGATCCCCAAGGCCTGCAGTTTAAAACTACCGGCTGATTCTTGGGAGAAAGATAGGGCTTTCTACTCCCGATGAGGGTGAGAGTCTCAGAAACTCACAGGGCAGTTCTATCCTGTCTTAAAATGAGCTGGCATTGACGGGATGGCAGTGAGTTTGGTTATTTTGGCTTGGTCTTTCCTGCCAGCCATAAGCCAATGCCTTGGCGCTTGTTAGTCAAAACATGAATTAACTTAACCTTAAGAGTATCATTCTTTAGGTAGAGCAGGACTCCTGGCTCCTTGCATGATTACTCTAGTTAAAGGTAGCCTGGAATCCATAGGTGTATGCCCACAGAGAGACTGGGCTTGAACTGGTTCATTACTGTTTGATCAATGCTGACAATTTTTATGTCCCCAGATGAATGGGATCAAAATCTACATGTCAACAAATGTACAGGAAAGAATTGCCTGGAGATTTTGTTAAAATGTAGATTCTGATGAGTTTTTCTGGGGTGGATTATAAATTTTCAGCAGGGTCAAGCTGGAATGAACTTTGTCCAAAGCCATGAAAGAAACTGGCTAGAATGGATTTCTTCTATGCTGATAGCTTCTTCCACACGATCCACACAAAGCTACGAACAATGCTCTTACAAGAACACCCAGGGCCATGCCAGTGAAGGAAAGGGGTATTGGATAAATACGTTCGATGCCCCAAAGAACATGAGAACCTCTTCAGTTCCATGCAGTGAACCTAAGCTTTTCTCCTATTCCCCTTATCTTCTGAACAAGGCTTTATCTTGTAGGAATGCTCTGAGTTTTCTTTGGTCTTAAGATTATAAATGGTCTACCTGCTTAATCTGGAGCTAATAACTTAAAAGAGTAGCAATCGTCTAATACCTACTATAAGTCAACCACAACTCTAGAGGCCGTTCAAGAAACAACCGGGGCAGAGCCCCCCTTACTCTCAAAGTTTACCTATTTTAGAGGTAGACTATTGGTGTTTGTATGAGAAGTAAGTTTTAGGGAGCCCTGGTGGCACAGTAGTTATGCGTTGGGCTGTGCTAACCACAAGGTTGGCAGTTGAAAACCACTGGCTATTCCTCAGGAGACAGATGAGGCTTTCTACTCCTGTAAAGAGTTATAGTCTCAGAAGCTCACAGGGGAAGTTCTACCCTGCCTTATAGGGTCACTATGAGTTGGCACTGACTCAATGGCTATGAGTTTTAAAGAGTTTTAAGAACAACATGATTAGGGAATAGTAGGGCATGTTTTATTCACCTACCAGTTCTAAAGACATAAATTTAAGGGTTACTAACCATACTTAGCAACTCATTTACTTATACAACATCATATTTTAGGGTTAAGGTTTGCATCTACCCAGAGGCACCTCAGAGGAAAGGCTTGGCAATTTATTTCTGACAGGTCAGCTGTGGAAAATCCCAAGAAGCACAGTTTTACTCTGAAACACAGGGGGCCACCATGAGATGGAGATGACTTTCAACAGCAGCAACTTATGGTGGTGGATTCATCTAGAGCAGCGGGTTCTCAACCTGTGGGTCGCGACCCCTTTGGGGGTCCAAGGAACCTTTCACAGGGGTCGCCCAATTCATAACAGTACCAAAATTACAGTTATGAAGTAGCAACGAAAATAATTTTATGGTTGGGGGGCGTCACCACATGAGGGAGGAACCGCATTAAAGGGTCGCAGCATCAGGAAGGTTGAGAACCACTGATCTAAATATATGTGTTTACTTCTGATAAGAGTCTCTCGGCGACACAGACTTACCTATGAAGAATGCTGGCAAATGCAGTTAGTTTGTATGTAGCAGAAAGTAACACGGGCTTTCCCATGGAATTACAACACACTGCCAATGGCCAAAGACAAACCCTTTGCAGACAAATATGGCGCTAAGCGGATTTAAGAAATAGAAGCCACACTACAAAAGCAAAACACAAAAGTATGTTGGAAGAAAAGAGTTACATCATCTAATCTTTTCACCCCAAGTCAGTGCCTCCTCTTTCTTGCCCCTCCACCACCGTTGAGACGAAAAGTGGGAATTTACACTGTGACTCCCAAAGGCCATGCAGGGAATTTCAAAGAAAACTGAAAAACCTTCTAGCAGTCTGCAAAGGAACCAACCCCACAAGCTACCTGCTTTACAACAGAATTCTAATCAGCATTTACAGGTCTAGTAAGCTAATAAAGGAACATGTGCCAGTCTTAACTGTTACCATTAATCGAACACTAAGCTGACAGAAAATCAAATAGAGCATAGGTTCACTTTAGCAAAAAGTTCCCAAGTAGAGAACCAAGAAACAAAACACGCTAGTGTGACTACTAAGAGCCCTGGTGGCGTAGTGGGTACATGGTGGGCTGCTAACCCCAAAGTCAGCGATTCAAAGCCACCAGCTCCAGGGAGAAAGATGAGGCTTTCTGCTCTCACAAAGACTGCCAGTCTCGGAAACCCACAGAGGCAGTTCTATCCTGCCCATGAGAATTGCTATGCTTTGAAATCGACTCAACAGGCAGTGAGTTTGAGTGTGACTATGGCATTTTTACTGAGAGATTTCTCAGGATGACATTTTTGGTAAGACTTCTCAGTATCTTTTTAATTTCTAATGATTAGTTTCCTTTATTCACAGGGCTCTTATAAAAGGGTCAGACTTGGTACTGCTAAACGTCTACACCCACTACCAGCCAGTCAATTCCAACTCACAAACCCTGGCCTGTCCCGGGCTTGTGAAGATGTAGTTTCACCGGAGCAGGCAGCCTCCTCCTCCTCCCTAGGAGCAGCTGGCGGGGGCAGAACGTCAGTGTACTTTAGATGTTCTAAACCCTAAAAAACCTGGATGGAATCTGGTCAAAGGGAACCCAAAACGCCACCAAGATCCAATTATGGCACATCAGATTCTTCTCTCTTTCAGGCCAAAACATTCAAGGTTTAGAGACGCCCTGGATCCCCTAGGCCCTAGGAGAAAAACACTCAAACATCTCAATTATCTGTATTATCTCCCAAGAATCTATCAATCTCTATCTAGCTGCGTTGATGCCAAGACACAAATCAAAATAAAACGGGAATCCAAACACTGCCGGTTATGGGCAATAACATAGTTTTAATAAGGTTTTGTTTCTTCTTAAAGAGCCGTGGCTGTGTAGTGGTTACGCGTTGGGCTGCAACATGCACGGTCAGCAGTTCGAAACGGCCAGCAGTTCCGCAGGAGAAAGACTGGACTTTCTCCACCCGCAGTTACAGTTACAGTCTGGGAAACCCACTGGGGTGGGGGTCGCTCTGAGTCAGCATTACTCGATGGCAGCGAGCTCATTTCTTCTCACGTTTCCTTAGACCTTACGATGTAAAGCGTCTTTATTTCTTCCACGGTTTGCCACGCTTCTTTCGGGTGCCCCTAAATGGCCCCTGTTTAGTTTCATGCCATCGGACGGCTTTGGTTATCGGGCACTAACAGACGCCAGGGTTGGCAGCTGCCTCGACGGCGGTGAGTTTGGTTTGGGGTCCAAACCTTTACGAACCAGAATAGTTCTTGGCTATGAAGTCCGCCCGACACTTAGCGTCTTGGATACACGGTTCAGGGCAGCTTCAACGGGCACAAGGCGGGTGCTTCTAAAATCGGTCTCCCAACCCGCAGCCCTGGGACCGCGCCAGGGCGGCTGCGTCCACGGGCTTCGGAAAACCTGGGCACCGCGCCTGGCCGGCCCCCAGGCCCTAGGACCCCGTGAAAACGCAGACCGGGGGCGCCCCCGCATAACCACTTGTCG